GAGAGAGAGAGAGAGAGAGAGAGAGGAAGAGAGGAGAGGAGAGAGAGAGAGAGAGAGAGAGAGAGAGAGAGAGAGAGAGAGAGAGAGGAGAATGACTTCTAAGTAATACACAAATTCCTCAGCAACTGCAAAAACAAAAATAATAATAATATACACTTCGCTTATATATCACATGACCATATATCATTCCTGAACAACAGTGCCAGAAGACTATGACATCAAAAGCTTCAACTTAAAAGTTATATGTTTACCAACCTGTTGGCTGAACTGGCATTAAAGTTTAATTACCACTTAAGCTACAATATCAATTTCTGGTGTGGCATGACACTTAATTCCCCTTAAAGGGCCAATGAAAGCTAAAGTTATTTGGAAAAAAATTAACAATATTGCTTTATGATGTATTTTCAGGTTCGAAGAACACAATCTAACAAGCCAGGGGTTCCCAAACTAAGGTGCGCACAACCTAAGGGGGTGCAAGATGCCAAAAACTGACTTCATTATGAAATGTGATCAATGGGGGACCGCGGTAGCGTAGCGGTAGAACGCTCGACTCGGAAGGTAAAGAATCCGCATTCAAACCCAAGGTAGAGCGATAGAAAGGGCATCCGGTCTTAGTTCCCTACCTTCCACACGTCTGCGTCCACCCCCAAAAAGGGGATTAATAGTGACACATAATAAATTCAAAAGTGATCATTAATTTCGTAGGTGAGAACATCAAAATTAATGCCTTAGGGGTGCGAGGCCATAGAAAAGATTGGGAACCATTGCCCTAACTGGTTTGTAAATATTGGTGATTCATATATAAATAACCAGAACACCCATTCATTAGGCAAAGCAAATGTGGTTAGCACGCGAAAAAAATATTTATAAAGAATAAATATTATAAATATACAATGATGTAGTCTCCTTGGCAAAATGGTAGCATCTGCGACTCTGAGGCGGCAGGTCGAGGGTTCGCGCCCCGTCACGGACTGAGGTTAGTAAGGGCATACACTCAGGGTAACGATTACATCTACCAAAACAAGTCCCTCGTAAGAAGGCAACCTTCCTAGCCCTTAGTAGAAAAGGGAGTTCGTGACGTAAAACCGAATCCTATTATAAATATAAAATAAATAACACTAATAAAGCTAAATCCAGCATTATTCCCCAGCTAAAATATGTCTGTGTTCACCCCCATATTGGGGACTGACAATGACACATTAAACGTGGTAGAAATATAACCTTTCTTATCTGATACCTTCAATTGTTCCGGTTTTACGTCACGGACTCCTTTTTCTACCAAGGGCTAGGACGGTTGCCTTCTTGCGAAGGACTTGTTTTGGCAGATGTAATCTGCCACGTTCGACAACCAAATACCCCGTTCACACGTTCGAACATCACTTCAAACACTTGTCTGTCGAGCCGCGTTCGACGAACCGTTTCACCGTGTAAACCCTCCTTTAGTCGTAGATAAGTAAAAATTACAATAAAACATTTGACACTATAGATTTCTATTCATATCACCTATCATGGGAATGGGGGTGGCACAATTGTATGAGATCCCTCAGAACTGCCCTGTTATTTAGGGATTAGGATTAAAACCATTAATCTATGCATACTGGTAATGGAGATGTCATTAAATACCTCACCGTGGCTCGAGCGGTAGCGTCCGCGACTTTGAGGCGTCAGGTCGAGGGTTCGCGCACCGTCATGGCCTGAGGTAAGCAAGGGCATGCAATCAGGGTAACGATTACATCTGCCAAAACAAGTCCTTCGCAAGAGGGCAACCGTCCTAGCCCTTGGTTGAGAAGGGAGTCCGTGACGTAAAACCGGAACTGGTAATAGAGATGGCATTAGATACCTCATCATACCCGAAATCAACAACATGAGTCAGAGCCATTTGATTTTATCTCCAAAATGTAAAAATATTTTTTTTTTTTTTTAATATCCTGTCATATTCCCTTTTCCTACTTATACTAAGTTCATATCCTCATTGTCCAATTTCCTTTGTTTAGTCATTGAATTTCAAAACTTTGTTTCTCTTTTCCAAATACTGACAGAGAAGGTGAAAAGGTGAAGCAAAAAAAGATTGATCTAGATTTGGTTTTTCCTTAGTTTCAGAATATATGCAGCTATGGACATGCATGATATAGATTAAAAACAATAGTGTCATTTTTATTAGAAAAAAAAATATTAAACATTTAGCATTTATTTCTTGGACACGAAAACCCGTAGAGTAAATATGTATAAATAGCAAAGTATGTAAACCAGCTGCGGCTGTCGAGTCTCACGGCAGCAGATCCTTGCCAACTTACCAGGTGGATAACCCAAGCAGTGTGATGAGCGGAATAGTGGCATCTCTTTACCCCCCCCTCCGTCCTTAAGAGGAGTGACAGAGGTAAATAAGCTTCTTGTAAATGTGTGCTAAGACTCGACCACCCTTGTGACCACCCTCTTACAAGGGAGACTGAGACCATTGTAGGTGTGTGTGCATTATGGTCGGGTGGTAGATTGCGCAACTTCGATTTGGCAGGGAGTCGGTTCGAGACTCACCACAGTCTGGGGTTAGAAAGGGCATGCACTCAAGGTAAGAGTCACACTCTGCCAAAACCAAACTCCTTCGAAAGGAGGCACCGTCCTAGCCCTTCTCCGTCACACCACACACCCTCATGTTCTCCCTTACCACATCCATAAACCTCTTTTTTGGACAACCTCTTCCCCTACTGACTGCCACCTCTATCCTTATATTCTTTTTCCTAACGTATCCCTCATCCTTCCTCAGCATATGGTCAAACTGTCTCAGTCTCAGCTCTCTCACCACGTCCTTAATCCATCCTACCTGTTCCGTCCTCTTATAAAATCATTCTTTATCTCGTCCCGAGTTGCCACACCCATAGAATACCACAAGCTCCTTTTCAGATGAGAGTGATAAATGAATCAGGGGATTATGGAAGCAAGTTATGAATGGCGGCCATAAGTATGATCATATACGATCAATTAGCCTCATCAGTAACCAATATGCAAACTGTACTATGAACTCCAGATCAATTACATAAATAAAGGCAAAAAATGAAAGTCGCTGTACTAATATTATTTTCTCTTAGTCGTATGCAGAGCTAGGTATAAATAAGGTGTTTGCTGGGCATCAACATAAGCTGGACTAAAAGGAAAGAATTGGCAAAGGTTCGTATAATTTACGATTTAACTATCACTTGAAACCTGTTTCGTTCACATTTTAGGTATTTAAATGAGTTTTACTTGTCTAAGAGAAGAGAACTCACATTAAATTTTCCGGTTTTACGTCACGGACTCCCTTTTCTACTAAGGGCTAGGACGGTTGCCTTCTTACGAAGGATTTGTTTTGGCAGATGTAATCGTTACCCTGAGTGCATGAGCTTGCTAACCTCAGACTGTGACGGGGCGCGAACCCTCGACCTGACGCCTCAGAGTCGCGGACGCTACCGCTTGAGGCACTGTGACTACACAGAACTCATGGTAAAATACATTTATAAAAGCACACCAAACTGAACTTTAATCCTGAATTGAATAGCATTATCGGTCATACTTTCGGAGGAAAAAATAAAATATAAAGAACTAATCAGGTAAATAAGGGAATTCTCTCATTTCATTTCACAAATACCAGACTGATAAGGCAAGATCCATCTCAGCAGTGGAACGTAAGGAAGGTCATCCAGTTTTAATGACCTTACATCTCCAACCAGGGCTGTGTCCGCTCGCTTTCATTTCACAAATACCAGACTGATAAAGAAAGATCCATCTCAGCAGTGGAACGTAAGAAAGGGCATCCAGCCTTAATGACCTTATATCTCCAACCAGGGCTGTGTCCTCTCGCTTTCATTTCACAAATACCAGACTGATAAAGCAAGATCCATCTAAACAGTGGAACGTAAGGAAGGGCATCCAGCCTTAATAACTTTACTTCTCCAACCAGGGCTGTGTCCGCTCGCTTTCATTTCACAAATACCAGACTGATATCGCAAGTTCCATGTCAGCAGTGGAGCGTAAGGAAGGGCATCCAGTCTTAATGACCTTACATCCCTAACAGGTCTGTGTCCGCTCGCTTTCATGAGGATCAATTGTCTATCTATCTACCTTGGCTGTTTCCCCCTTTAATTGGGGGGTAGCCGACATCAACAAAAGAAAACAATAAGGGGATTACTTTGCTCTATGGACAATGACGAGGGAGCTAGCGACTGTTCAGATGGTACTGCTGGAGTGCCACAGCCCATCCTCCCGTCTCTTCCACAACCTGTGTTGCTTTGTAACGTAAATCAAAGAAAAATATCTAATTTTTAAACTTTCCTGAAACACAAGAATTAAATCAGTACATCAAAGAATAAAGCGCCTGGCGCCATTCCAGAACAAGCAGTGTTCGATATTCCAAGATGATTTGTACAGCTTCTCTTCGCCTGAATCACAACGGTATAAAGTGGAGGTAGTGGCATCCATCCGAGTTCACACACACACAAACACATACACATACAGACATATATATGTTTGAGAGAGAGAGAGAGAGAGAGAGAGAGAGAGAGAGAGAGAGAGAGAGAGAGAGAGAGAGAGAGAGAGAGGTGTGTTTCGATAAGAGCTAAAAAAAAATTCCTTTAATTTTGGATAAAATATAAATAATAAGTAACCTAGGACATATAATTACTGTGCCAAGGCGCTACCAATTACACCACAGAAGTCTTGAAAGGGAAACAAACCTTACAGCTATATCTGTTATACTAGGAATGAACGCATTCTATCTAACTGCCACTCTGTTCATATTACAGTTTCCACCAACCTCACTCGTGGCTTCGTTTTCGCATTTAATTCAAATCTCAATCTCATTTGGGACCAACAATAATCAAATAAGCACATTACCATTTGTGAACACATGAATAAATAAAGCCACGAGTGAGGTTGAGGGGGAACTGTGATATGAACAGAGTGGCATTCAGATAGAATGCGTTCATTCCTGGTATAGCAGATATAGCTGTAAGGTTTGTTTCCCTTTTAAGACCTTGTGTGGTGTAATTGGTAGCACCTTGGCACAGTAATTCTATGTCCTAGGTTCAAGTCCTAGTCGGGGTAAAAATTATTCATGTCTTCACATATGGTAATGTGCTTATTTGAATATATATATATATATATATATATATATATATATATATATATATATATATATATATATATATATATATATATATATATATATATATATATATATATATATATATATATATATATATATATATAGAGAGAGAGAGAGAGAGAGAGAGAGAGAGAGAGAGAGAGAAAAAAAAATATATGCCATTACCTAATTGTGCTTACGGGAAAGAGCCTTATGCTTGTAACTCCTCGTCTGCTTCTCGGTTCCATTTTTGCACTCGGTGATACTTTTCAGATTTGTCCTTGAAACTATGAATTGAGTTAGCATTAACTACCTCCTCACTTAGCGAATTCCAATCCTCTACTACTCTTACACTAAAAATGTATATACTTACATCCTGAAAAGAAGTTTTCTTACGAAGCTTCAAACTATGACCTCTAGTTCTAGAGCCAGCCACATCAAAATATCGGTCCCTATCCATTACGTCAAAGCATATCCCCTCTCATTCCTCTAGATTCAAGTGATGGTAAGTCTAATTCCCTCAGCCTCTCCTCATAACTGAGATTGCGTATTTTTGGCACCAGTTTCGTGGCATGTCTGTAAACTTTTCCCAGCTTATTTATGTGCTTATTAATGTGTGGATTCCAAAAGGGGGCTGCATATTCAGGCTTTGGCCTCACATTAGTTTACATAAATATGAGGGTGTGCAAGTGCGTGTGTGTATGTGTAAGAACTGCAAACTTGAAAATTCGTAAACTCTCTCCCCATTCCAAATTCGTCATAATATAAACAGAACTTCTTATCCACCTCAGATGACGCAAGCAGTCCCAGAGCGGTCCTGGAGTGTGCAGGACATTGCATCAGTACACTAGGGTGTTCATCCATTCTCATGTGTCCAAAGGAGAGGGTGTGCTTACTTTCTTCCCTCGACAGATGTACACTTTCAACAAATATACTGTACACAGCACCTGGTATGTGCAACTTCTCTTTGTACACAGGAGTATTTCTCGGATCTTGTAAAATAAAAAGAGTAACACCAGGATGCCCTGGGGTTATATATACAAGGTCAGTCTCCAAACCTAACCTGATCTGACCTAACCTTTCTTATTTAGGTTCTGGGGGTTACTCATATTTATAGGATCCTATTTTTCTTCATAAATAATTACCAAAAATAACGAAAGTAATAATTGCATATTTATCTCTGAAGATATTTTGCTGTTGTGGAAGTATCACACAGTGAGTGTGTTACGAGTCATGAAGGAGCATATGAGAAAGGTTTTTGAAGAGTCTTCCGTTTCGGTAGCTGAAGCTATTATAATTTACAGAAAATCTAAACTAGGGTTTCCCAATCTAAGGTCCTCCTATTCACTGGAGGTCCGAGATGTAATTTCAGAGGGTGTGCCAAAGAGTGGCTTAAGATCTTTGAGTGATGAGTCACGAGTCATAATTCAACCAACAGCAGGACATTAAACTTCTTCATATTCATATGTGATATTCCTTTGGTAGGGGGTGCCAACATTAAGCAAGTATTTTTTCAGGGCTGTTTAACACAAGAAAAAGGTTAGGAACCACTACACTATACAAAGAAATGTGACTATCTATTAAAAAAAACACGTTTAATAATACAATGATTCCACAGATAATTACTTCTATGACGTGGTACCAGGGAAGTCTGGCAATACCTGTTTTGCCAGCTGTCTTAGCAACGCCACGTGTGACGCATGTGGGCGTCCTTCCTGTGAAGGGTCCCTCTGCGACAAATGCTTCCAATTTTGTTGGCAAATGACCATCAAGGTGATTGGAAACGTTTATCTCTGGAATTCTACAATGACAGGCTTAATGACGGTAAGATGTAAGAAGAGGTGGCAAGTGATGTGGGATTCCAGGAACCCAAAAACCTGATCGATACACCCAACATCCCACTCCATATGCGTCTAACAATAACATACAAGGACAGAGAAGCAATTACCACAAGGTACGACTTGGTGATCGTAAAAAATAACACACTGACAGTAGGGAATCCTCTTACGGGAAAAGACGGAAACTGGTGGCAGGCTCCTTTTGTGAACAGAACGACCACAACCATCGAGAATTCTACCTGTGAAGAGTTTTTCTATGGAAACATTACATCGTGTGTGCCAAATGGGCTGGCGAGCCACGGAGAGCAGAAACTCAACAACGGAACTTTGAGGACAGGGGCAGCCTGGTACACTGGAGACCCAGTTCAGGACAGTCATGAAATTTACTGCATCCTTTTGTGGATGGCTCCAGATTGGAGTTAGCTCGAGAGATTCTTAAAAAAGCTGTATTTCACTGATACGTTCATTTCCCCAAAATCTGGCATGACAAAAGCACATTTCTGTTTCACATATGCATAATTTAAACTATTACAAATGGTTAACCTGATATTCAATGTAAAATTAATAAAACGCAATTTAAAGATATGTTATTTATTTTTTCTAGTATATATATATATATATATATATATATATATATATATATATATATATATATATATATATATATATATATATATACCTTGGCTGTTTCCCCCTTTAATTGGGGGGTGACCGACATAAAAAAAGAAAACAATAAGGGGATTACTTTGCTCTATGGGCAATGTCGAAGGAGCTGGCAACCGTTCAGATGGCACTCCTGGAGTGCCACAGCCCATCTTCCCGGCTCTTCCACAACCTGTGTCGCTTCACAACTGCCAACTCCCCTATTGCCCTACCACAGGGCTACCTCTGTAAGATGCAGCCCAGTGGTAACAGCAGATGCCCATCACAGTTCCGTCACAATTGCTCGCCACTCATACCTATTCCTAGCACACCCATCAACTCTCGCATTCATCACCTTTCTCAACAGTCTTTAATCATCCATCCTTTTCACATGGCCAAACCATCTCAGAACATTCATATCTACTCTGGCTGCAATTTCTCTCCTTACACCCATTCTTGCTCTCACCACTTCATTCCTAACCCTATCCAACCGAGTTACACCAATCATACTCCTCAGGCATTGCATCTCAAACACATTTAGTTTCCGTCTCTCACTTACTTTCATACCCCACAACTCTGATCCATACATCACAGTTGGCACAACCACTTTCTCATACAAAACTTTCTTAACATTCATTTCCAACACTCTATTCTTCATCACTCCTTTCAACGCACCCAACACTTTACATCCTTCATTCACTCTGTGACACACATCTGCTTCCACTCCACCATTTGCAGCTATAACCGAGCCTAAATACTTAAACTGATCAACTTCCTCAAGTGTCTCTCCATTCAACATAACATTCAATCCAGCACCATCCTCATTTCTTGTACACTTCATAACCTTACTCTTTCCTACATTCACTCACAACTTCCTTCTCTCACACACCATAACAGACACAGCTTCTCCTCTGAATCTGCCACCACCACAGCATCATCTGCAAATAGCAACCGATTCAGCTCCCACTCGTTATCATCCCCATCTACCATTCTCAAACCTCGACCACGCACTCGCTCATTCACCTCTCTTACGACTCCATCAATATACAAATTGAACAGCCATGGTGACATCACACATCCCTGTCTCAGTTCCACACTCACCGGAAACCACTCACTCACTTCATTCCCTACCCTAACACAAGCTCTACTGCCCTCATACAAACTCTTCACTGCATGCAACAATTTACCATTAATTCCATATAATCTCAAAACATTCCACATTGCCTCTCTATCAACTCTATCATACTCTTTCTCCAGATCCAAAAATGCAAAGTACACATCTTTACCCTTTGCTAAATATTTCTCACAAAACTGCCTAACTATAAAAATCTGATCTATACAACCTCTACCAATCCTAAAACCACTCTGCACTTCCGCGATCACATTTTCTGTCTTATCCCTAATCCTATTAACCAGTATCCTACCATGCACTTTTCCTACTACACTCAACAAACTTATACCCCTAAAATTACTGCATTCATACACATCTCCCTTACCTTTGTATAGGGGCACTATACAAGCAATCATCCATGCCACTGGCACCATTGACAATATAAAGCATATATTAAACACTCTTACTAACCATTCCAATGCAGTCACATCCCCTTCTTTCAACATCGCTCTCACACCATCCATTCCAGGTGCTTTACCTGCTTTCGCTTCATACAATGCCTTTACACTTCCTCTCTTGTAATCTCTCTCTCATTTTCATCCCCCATTACTGGCACTTGAACACCCCCCCACTGCCACTATAGCTGCCTCTCTATCTTCCTCAACATTAAGCAAGCACTCAAAATATTCTGCCCATCTTTCCCTTGCATCGTTCCCTCTTAAAATCTGTCCATTCACATCTTTCACTGTCTCTTCCATCATCGATTCACCCATCCTTACTCTCAATTGACCCCGGTCTGTTTTTCAATTTGCATTGTCATCTGTTACGCGACCTCTGCTTTCAACTATCTTTTTTATGAGAGTGACACCAGGACAGGCAAGAAAATTTCCCTCTTCCCATATGGGAAGAGCGTCAAAGTAGGTATCTCAGTAGTTCCCAGTGGTTGTTGAATGTATATTAAGGCCGCTTTTACACAAAAGTGCCACGTCGCACGTGACATGCCACGTGGCACGCCAGTTGAACATGAACATCAAGCAATAAGAAAAAGGGTCTACATCGCATGTTGATTCCGCTGGGAGCCGGGGTAACTAAGTGGAAAGGTGTGCAAGTCAAGAAGCAACTAAAGCAGGATCGAGCCGATCCCCAGGCTCCAACAAGTCTGCGTCCACCCCCATTCGAATGAAGATAAATGCGACACACAAATCTGTGCATTTTGGGGGCCCGCGGTAACTCAGTGATATAGTGCACAAGTCGGAAAGCGACTAATAAGGGTTCGAGCTTACCCCAGGGTATTAGGAAGGGCATCCAGTCTTAATTCCCCGGCTCCACTTTGTCTATGTCCACCCCCAATCGAACAGGGACCCATTTT